GGGGGGGGGGGGGGGAGACAGACTTTATCAAAAGAGAAGCTGAGCTTTCTGAGTTCAGCTTGTATTACACTATCACCTACTGGGAGACAAGAACGACTGAAGAGACCCGGACTGGTTTAAGACCTGGTCTCAGGAACAGACCTGGACCGGTTTAAGACCTGGTCACAGGAACAGACCTGGACTGGTTTAAGACCTGGTCTCAGGAACAGACCTGGAGTGGTTTAAGACCTGGTCACAGGAACAGACCTGGACCGGTTTAAGACCTGGTCACAGGAACAGACCTGGACCGGTTTAAGACCTGGTCACAGGAACAGACCTGGACTGGTTTAAGACCTGGTCTCAGGAACAGACCTAGACTGGTTTAAGACCTGGTCTCAGGAACAGACCTTGACTGTAATGTTTTTTATAGGAGTACTCAACATCAGACCAGAATTGACAATGACAAGCAGGAGACAAAGGTAAAAGTTTAAGTGGTTTATTTACAGTGCCAAGGGATTTGGACCAATTCCTGAAATGGAAGGTATGATTATTTAGTATTTGTCCAAGGTGAGTGTTGAATGTTGAAGTAAATGTAAATCGTCTTACAGGTTCCACATAGGAGGCAGACTTGGAGGAGGCACAAGATGGTTTCCAGGAGGTAAGTTTCTTAATTCCAGAGTTGATGTTTTTTGAGAGTGTGTGCGTCTTCCATGTCTTCGGTGAGAGTGGCAGGGCGGAGGAGATGAGACTTCCAAAAGAAGTTTTCAAAGGTGTCTTTCCAAGAGGAGGTTCCACATACAGGTAAACAGTGGTGGGCACAAGTCCACTAAAGCTTAAATCCGCCAATTGCAGACCTAAATATTTTGTTTGCGCTTTAGCGGTCTTACTCATTTTTTTAATTCATGAGCGGATTTGCACTTTCTAAACTTAAAATGCAGTGCCGCTAATGCTGGAGCTCAATACTTGATGTAATTGGTCGAAGCAATCCTCCAACGGGGTTAGACTGACATCTAGTGGTCAACTGGAGCAACTACATGGAAAAATTTCATTCCCCGTCGCAAATCAAATCCGTCATGTATACCCAGAATGCATCACTTCAATTTTCCAATAAACAGTTTTAAAATTGCTTTATTGATGCTTCTTTAATGAAAAATCTACAACAAACAAAACAAAAAGACAAAGAAGCAGCCGAACTAGCAATCCTCAACAATTTTTTAAAAAAATCAGCTGAACTAGCAATCCTAAACAACTTTTTAATTTTTACACCAGGAGCCAAAGTTCTGTTTCAGGAGATCACATCCCCAGTAATTGACACTTGTAGGATTAAGTTGTACAAGGGTTCATACACCGCTAGTTGGCAGTATTGTACATATATTGTACAATTGTTGTCAGCTAATAAGTGTCAAATTGAACTTGTGCTATAGAATTAGCTTCAGCTAATTTTTCTATGACATAAGCGTTTTTGAAGTTGCGGACCTAAATGTTTTCATAAGTGCTTTAGAAATTGTGGAGCTAATTTTTGGATTAGCGCTGCCCACCACTGCAGGTGAGTCCAGTCTTTCACTATAATGTTCTTCCTTAAAAAAGATACAAAAATAGAATTTACAAAAATGTACAGGGAAAGTAATCTAGAGGCTTTCATAAACAGTACCGAGGTAACTGAATAATCCGGCGAGGACTGGAACTTCCTCAGAGGCTCAAGTAGGGTTGAACCTCATCAGCAGAATCCAGAACAAGTGGTTAATTGATGGCTCCTCCCCTGCCACTCAGGATCTGGGAAGGTGAGTACAAAAACTCACACACCACACAACAACAAACCAACACCAAAAGGCAGCAAACTCCACAGTACCTCCCCCTCATGGATCGCCTCTGGGCGGACCAGGACGTTTCTCCGCATGAGCTTCATAGAAGTCGGAGATGAGTGTGGGGTCCAAGATGAAGAATCTGGGATTCCATGAATGCTCTTCGGGACTGTATCCTTCCCAATCCACAAGGAACTACAACCCACAACCTCTTTTACGAATGTTGATGATGCGATGTACTGTGTGTATAGGTTGATTGTCCAACAAACGGGGAGGAGGGGGAACCTGGTGAGTACTGTTCAGAGGGCTTTGAAAAAAAGGTTTGATCTGGGACACGTGAAAAGTGGGGTGAATCTTCATGGATCTAGGAAGTTGGAGTCTGACAGTAGAGGGATTAATGATCTTGTTGATGGGAAATGGGGCCAGTTTCTTTGAGAAATCCTTAAGGGTGATGTCACGGGTGAAGAACCAAACCTTTTGTCCAACAAAAAAGGCTGGAACCAGGTTCCTGTGACGATCCACCAATCTCTTATTCTGCTCATTAGTTCATCCAAATGCCTCTTTAGTTTGCCTGCAGCATCTCGGATGATGTTGAATAGAAGGAACCGAGTTCTCAGACTCCTGGATTGGAAACAGAGGAGGCAAATATCCAAGTGAAGCCTCAAAGGGCGACAGGCCCGTAGCAGAGGTGTGCTTGTTATGCGCATACTCAACCCAAGGCAGACCATGTGCAAGGGTTGAAATTTATCACACAATGAAGGGATGATTCTAGTTCCTGGTTGGTGCGTTCAGACTGGCTGTTGGATTGTGGTTGATATCCAGAGGAGAGGCTCACAGTAAATCCAAGTGCTTGGCAAAAAGACTTCCATACTTGGGAAATGAACTGGGAACCTCGGTCAGAAACAATAACATCAGGGATGCCATGCAAACAAAACACATGTTGGACCAGGAGTTGAGCTGTCTCAAAGGCAGAGGGGAGTTTAGTTAGAGGGACAAAATGGACAGTTTTAGAGAAACTGTCAACAATGGTAAGAATAGTGGTATTACCTTCTGAAGGGGGAAGACCAGTAACATAATCCAATGAGATGTGGGACCTTGGGCGATTAGGAGTTGAGAGAGGTTGAAGAAGTCCAGAAGGAGGTTGATGAAGGCTTTTGTTTTGAACACAGATGGTACACACAGAAATATACTCCTTTATATCCTGTTACATCCCCAGTGTGGATGTTTGATTTTGCATTGAAGTAATGCCTTGTGTTTTTTTAGGCTCTGCCTCCTCTCCTGTGTCTCCCCTGTGATTGGGTGCTGCTCCTTGGGTCTCAAGCCAATCAATCAGCTGGGCCCTATTTAATGGCTGTGAAGCTGGACTTCTGCGTCTATGGGCCACTTGACAACAAATTGAGTATGTCAGTCAAGTGGCCCATAGGCGCAGAAGTCCAGCTTCACA